TATCATATACTTTCTTACACAATCAGCAATTCAGAGAAAAACGGCTGCACGTACCGAGCGTGCACCCACAACGACTGGGGCTGGATGCTGGCAATAAGCAAGCCTGCTCCCCCACCTCCTTCAGCCAGTCTCTGTCCATGGCTTGTGCTGGGAACAGCCGTGCTTCAAGGGCTGGCTTTGCTCAGCAGTCTCACTGTGACCTGTGCTGACTGACCTCAAAGACGCACTGACTCGTGGGCATTAGGGTCAGGAGTTTTCTCGCTGAATGCTGGCAAGGCTACGTCATTCACACACACAGAGCTCTCGATGAAATGAGTGACACAGCCAAGCCCCCATATGTCACTCAAGAACAAATGCCCACTTCCAGTCCCTGTCTTTTAGAGGGTCAGACAGGATGGTGGAGGAGAGCCCTGTGATACGCGTTGACATCTAACCGAAGCGCGGAGAGAATTTCTGTGCCAAGCATCTGTCGGTGGCACATCCACTACTGTTGCCACACCCATGGGCCCAAGGTATTGATAACCAGTTGTTTTTCAGCTCCATCAACTGACCCCTTTTCAGCTTTGATTGCTGCTGTGCTTCTTCTATTTTTGTCCTGCCTGGCAAGTATGGCGAGTCGTTAGTCCAGTATCTGATACCACATCCCCTGAAGCATTCCAATGGTTTGGACCCGGACCCGGGTGGCTGCTTAATGCTGATTTTACGATCCTGCTGAATAGCATCCTTCTCTGTTTTGCACATACTTTTGTAATTTTGAATATGCTTAAGTAAAAATAAAACAAATTTTAACTAAGTGCCTACATAACACAACCACAAGCTGAAGCTACACAGAAGGAGCAAAATTCTGACTTCAGAAGAGCAATAAAAATAATTGGACTCGGGATACGGGCCAGTAATTCTTGTCTTTTGACTATTTCTGAGATTCCAGCTCAAACTGATTTTTCTTCCCCAAAATTATATCCAGAAGGAAGACTTCTGGAGGCAGAAACTTACAACTGTGCTTGGTAATATGCCTCCCGTGCTCTCCTACCAGCTGCTTCTGTGAAAACCGGGTACTTTTTCAACTCCAAAGAAAACGATTGTGAAATTTATTCAGACGAGCCTAATCTCAATAGTGGGCAGAAAATGCGTACGCAGGCTCAATGTACAGTCCTTCCCAAAATTCAGTTTTTAAAAGGACCCTGCTGGAAAGCTTGCTATATCATGAAGCTCCAGCTACAGACTCCAGCTTTAAATTGACATCTGCAGCAAGCCAAGACAACTCCTCATTAGCTCCTATTATGATAACCTATTAATAATCATTTTCATCTGGAAAAAATATTTGTTGTTGTTGTTTTTTTACTGTTACGTTTTACAAAGAAGATAGTTAATGGGATTAATGATTCCATGAGGAAAATATGTAATGCTTACTGAGCCATGAGGCTTGCCCTCTCCAAAATAACTATTTATTTTTAATTTTATCCAGTGAACTTCCATGGTGTCAGGCTTTTTGCATTGGATTTATTTCATCACCGTAACACAAACTTGCTCCTTATACATTGAGAAAACAGGGCACTAGCAGCAGTTTGAGGTTCAAAATGTTTATGAATGGAGGGAGAAAAAGTTTTTTTAAACAGGTAAGCAGGCACAAGGGGCTGAGATTGGCTGAAGTTTTAAACTACATTTTTCTTTCAGAAATTACTTACTTGAGTTTACAAGCCAGACAGGCAGGTTTTCCCAGTAGCATTCTCAAACCAGGGTGAGGAATAGCAATTCTGGACCCCAGCCAATTCCAATGTAAATCTGTTTTGTTCGGGAAAGCCAGCCAAATTGCTTTCATACAACATCTCGCTGTTTCGGGAGACCTGCGATATTCTCAGCTCCCATCCTCGGTGTCAGAAATGAGAGTGTTTTTTTAATCCTGAACTGCAGGGACAGCCTGAACAGCACAGGGCCAGCGCTCCCCGTTCAGTACGGAACCACTGCTGAAATGCCATGCGGTTCTTGGAGGCGCAGCTGATACCTGGGCTTTCACAGATGCACAGGATCAGACCTCTGGATGGAGTGAGTTGGATGCTCCCACGGAGCCGCTTGTTTACTGCGATGGGACAATGGTCCTCTGCAGGAGTGTGTGAAGCAACTGCTGTCTGCCTTGCCAGACCTCACTGAAAGCCCACAGAAGAAAAACTGAACTATTTGTCAGGAATGTCAAGAGCGACAATTTTCTCCTATTTTAAAAGAGAGAGGGAAGTGGCTTGCTGACAGTTCTGTGAGGCTTTAATGGGGATCTTTACACCTGAGCAAGAGCTCATGTGCAGTGAAATAGAGACATGGACCAGGACTGTCACTCGGCAAAGTCGTTCCTTGTTCTCCAGCAGTGATTTTAAATCACCCAGGTACACAAATAATGCCCACTATAACTGCAACCAATGTGAACCTTCAATGGCTATTCATATAATATTCCTGGCATCTCATTATCACTGGTGGCAACCGAACTTATTCAAACTCAAATATTACACAGCAAACAAAGTTTCAGTTAATTTTCCTCTACCGAAGTATCAAAGGCAGCAATGCCCTTTGAAGCAGCCACCTTATGCTTCAGGCTTTATACAAATTCAACAGAACAGCACCTCAGAAATCATGTACCAAATGCAAACAATCCACACCTTTGGAAAACAATCCCCTGTTGGAGGAGTAAACACAAGCATACATTAGTCACTGGCTCTAAAGATGGGCAGCCAATGGGGCTTCATGAGATTTAACCTCCAGGACTGGCTAGCAGCACGCAGCGCTCCCAAATCACTCTATAGCTGAAATGATCCCGAGCACCTGGGTGTCACATAGAGCACAGCATCCATGTCCACATGCACGCACATCCGTGAGCGACGGCTTCCAGCCACCGGTATCCAGCAGGCAAGGGGCTCAGAGAGGCTCTCTGCTAAGCTTGCTGAATGAATAGCCACTGTTCTCCCTCTGCCGCTGAATTTTGACCTTGAAAATCCCACAGTTCACTGTTATGATTTCTAGCTTCACTACCGTGGCCAGGAACTGAACTACAGGTTTGTTTTTATTAGCTTCTCAGCCACTTTGCCAGCTATTCATTTGAATCTTCTAAACAGTCATCTCTGAATCATAATGCAAATTCCATTTACTGAAAAGGTGGAACCTTTAATATAACAAATGAACATGTTTAATGACTGATACTTTTAGACATTACAGCATCTCTCATGTTTTCAGTAAATGGATATAATTTTCTCTGCATTACCCTATTATTATTCTTTGCTAGCATTACGAAGCTATGTTCTCAGCTGCGGGTGTTTTCCACCAAGTACATTTTGAAGACAGCCCAAACAACACAATTTAAAAGACATCTCCCTTTGTGCCTTCAGCTAAAAATGCTGCAGGATGCAGACGAATCGAAAGGGGATTTTACACTTAAAATGTACCTGCTGCTTGCATCCGTATTTCAAGAGGGCCGAGTTCGTCTAAAATTGCAGGCTGTACTTACACTAGAACTCCACAAATGCATTTGAATTCAAAGGCAAATAGGAGCTGTTGTGTATAATCAGAATGACCTCCTCAGCCTAAAGCTTGACCCATCATCTGCCACTGCGAGTAAGAGATTTTGAGAGAGCAAAAGTGGGTCACCTTTGAACTCTCCTGAAGCGTGCCCGTAGCTCAGTGCGTTCATGTAAGAGCTGCACGTGCCACCACGCATTAGAAGATGGCCCGAGTGCTTAAGGAATGCCCACATGAGTGGGGAAAATGGTGAGGAGGGGTGCGTGAACCCCAGACTATTCAATCTCCTTGTCAGGGACAATGGCTCACAAAATGCTCCAAAAGATGGAATTAAGAAACCTACGCAAGTGCTGTAGATGCTATCGTTTTGATTTGTGAATGCTACAGCACTGAATTGTCCTTAGGTAACAATGTTGTCTTTAGAACACTGTGATGTTATGTTCCGATTTTACTTGAAGATATGAACTAGACAAAAGGAAAATACATAAGCAAATAGCGGATGAAGTCACATGGAGGATGCGATGGTTTTTTGGTCTTGACCTTAAACCTGAGAGGCTGATTGTTTCTCTGCACTTTCTCTAACCAACATTTCACTGGCTCCAGTGGGTTTTCTCTAACCACCCCGACCATGCCAAGGTGCTTGGCTCATGGGAACAAGAGCAATAATGCAGGAGCAGTGCTTCAAATAAACTCGTAACAGAAACGTAAACGTGATCCATGGCTTTCAAGATTATGGGTTTGAGCTAAAAAGTGACGTTAAGAAGCATCCTTCTGTTGCTGTGACGGGCTTTTGGACCAAGCTTTGGATACCTAATTGTGCGCACGGGAGCTTCCCACAACAGTTATATATAAATACAGTCTAAGTCAGCTTTGACTTGTTACTTACACTGTTAAGACCCTTCTATTTGTACCAGTAATTCTTAGTTATTGCAGAGAGCCAATATTAAGCTTAACTGTTTAGTTCTGCCCTGTCCTAACCCACCCTTATGCACCCTGCAGTAATACGTTAAATAATGACTACTGTGTACAGTTCCACAGCTACTCCAGAGAAAGAAAGGTCAGAGAAGTGCTTGTCAGGTCGCAATAAAGCTTGAAAAAAAATCAAAATCATGTGGGAACTGTTTGTAATTGTAGGCTGACTCACCCTGTTGCAGAGATCAGCTTTTGAGAATTGTCGTTTTAAATTGAAAATGTGTTACTTAAACTTAAGCATGGGCAATATTGTGCTGCTCTAAATCAGTGGGAAGAATCCTGGAGTCACAGTGAGCCTCGCTGACCACAATTTATTTTTTTTTTCTTAAAATGAGATCTTACTGTATAAAAGTTGAATTACTGAAGAATAAAACGTGAAAAACACACAGCTGATTCTGCACCTTTTAAACTGTCCTCAGATGTTCCTACTGCAGAAAGCTCAACAGATAGCACTCAAATTCTCTCCACGTAACCAGAGCCGGACACGGCAGGTAAAGATGACCGAACGGCGGCTGCAAACAGATACATACCTCTTCCACTTCTACCCACAAATCTGAGGTCGTTGAACCTTGCCACTTGGTTTTTCATGGCAGCCGTCGCATTTCTGAGTTCTGCAGAGTAGTTCTCATCGTTTCCAGCCATCACCGTGACCAGCGTCCCATCGGGTACGTCTCCTAAGGCCACCACCTACCAAATCAAAGCACAGAAACCTCAGCTTTCTCACGGGACGTCTGTTTTGGGGAATAGAACATCAACAAGTGATGTGGTAAAATAGGAAAAAACAGCAGCAACAAAAATGAATGCAGACTAGAAGTTGTTTGGGGGAAAACCATGCAGACTTACAGCTACATTGACACGCATCCAAAATACAAAGCATAACGTGACCTCAGCACAAAATAAAGCTTTCTAAAATATACTTTTGTAATTGGCAACGTATAAATTCAAGTAACAGGAACCAATCCTGATCTGATTTACCTCAGTAGCCTTACTTTCAAGCTACAGCGAAGTCAGGACGAGCATCTAAATGTAAAATTTGAAAGAAAACAAACCCAAGCCAATTGCCTTGTGAACGCCGAGAGTCAGGCTGCCCACAGGTGCATCAGTTCCCTCTCTGTTCATCCCACTGATATGAATATATAAATTCAGAATAAATCCACAGAGAATCAGGCTTCAACCAAGGCCTTACTGAAGGCAACTTACTGAACAATGCCTTTTTCTCTTTGGAAGCGTGAAAGCAAATCACTGACTTAAGACCTCACCTGCGATCTGATGGGTGGAAGCTGCAATCCACACGAATGAAACCTGCAATAGCTCAGAAGCTTTCACCTCATCCTGAATGTTTGCAATGTAGCACCCCAGTGCCAGTATCTGCTGAACTAATATTCAGGAACACAGCATCCGCATTTCTTATGTTGGGAGATGTATGCATTTCGAACTCTAAGCTTTCTGACTCCTGTCTACAATGTTCACATCTTTTAAACTAATAAAAGTTGAATTTTACTTTATCTTATCTTCCTCAGCAAGACTGAATTCTTACAGCAGTTTTCCCCTGTGACAATCGAATGCGTGTTTGGTGTGTCTCTTGATTGACTCTGGCAAAAGTAACAGCTCAAAATAGGTCCTCTTTTGCACTGTTTTACAAACCCGCTGCTCTAGCTGTTTCCCTAAATTAAATCTACAGGAGTGACCTCAGGACTACTACCAAAAAAAAAAAAAAAAAAAAAGGGGAAAAAAAGTCTAGTTCATTTTTATTTCCTCTTTTACATACTCTAGGAGGAAGTAGTCCTGCAGCAGGTTCTCTGAGTTGCTGCTTGATATTTTTCCTTCCTCTTAGCGAGTTCTAGCTTACGTCCATGCAGTTTTAATGGGCTCCAGCTAGTCACAGCCCGGGCTGACCACTGTTAGTTTCTGTTCGCACTGCTCTTTCCAAACAAGATCAGCTGCTCCTTTACTCAGTCCATCTCTGATGCTGACCTTCCAGTAGCAACCATTTCCTCCAGCATGACAGGGAGAGGTATTTTAGAGCTTTTCCTGATGCAGGGGGCTGCTTTTCTCACTTCAGTGCTTTCTGTTCTGTCACCTATCACCCTTATTTTCACTTCCACATACCAAGTTAAAATCACTGCGTCAAAATTCCCGCTTTATGTCTGTATTTCAGCTTCCTCTTTCCCACTCCTCATGCTTTTGTTTTTATTTCTCCTCCGTGTGCCACGAGCTGTCTCTGTGGCCTATTCTGTTCTCTGCTCTGCACTCAGCGCTGTGCCTTTCATAAAGCCCCGATCTTGGCGCCCAACAGCCCCCTCTCAAAACGTTTAACAAAACTTTTCTCTTTCCACAGCGCTGTGCAATGAGGAGGTCTGGCTTAAGCCAGCAGCAGCTGTGAAGTCGAAGCACGCATTTCTTATGAAGTGATCAGAAAACCTGAATACATGCACGTAGAGTAAGGACAGAAGGAAGGGAAAAGGGAAATGTGGGCATCACCCTCGGCTTCCTGCGATGCAGATGGTGCCGGCTTGTTCAAGGAAATACCTGCCAGCACTTTTAGGGAGAAAAACCTTCCCAAACCCAGCGTCCATCGGCTCTTACAGCACAACTATTGAGAAGCATCGTTTTTAAATCACACTGCAGGCAGCCTCAGCGACAAGAAATGCGAAGAAAACGTTAGAAACAAGCGTAAAAAAGAAAGGCACAGCGCAGAAAAGAAATCAGAGGTAAAAAGGCACAAACAATAGAAGCAGAAATACAAACATTGACATTAGGAAAAAAAAAAAAGACTGAACAGATAAGTCGGGACTTGCTGGCTGCTGTTATCTGTGCTCCTAAAAGACGTGTGCTTCTAGAGAAGGGAGCAGCACTGCTGCAGCACCGCCGACTATCACAATGCTCATTGCTGGTGCAGCAACCAAACCAAATCAGCCTTTTTAATGAAGACTGAGATGATTTCCAAGCAGCGTTTGGACAAGAAATATGTATGGCACCCTGCGAGAGCTGTTACGTATTTTTCTTTAAGTTTCTCAGAATCCTTCCTTACTTCAGGAAAAAAAAACACAAAACCGTGCACGGAAATGGTCGTTGCGTTTGGGTATAATATCCCGATCCTACAGATCAAATGTAAGGAAACATGAGGAGAAACCTCTCTGCCTCTTTTATGTCGGTGCAGTGATTGTTAGCAATGGGGGATAATGAAACCCAGCGATTTTTGTGTCAGATGAGAACATCAGACACAGAGGAACGAACTGTGTTTTCTATTTTCTGTTAGACTCAGATAACCTTAAGAATCGCGACTTTAACAAAGCCATCTGCCCGGCGGGCAGGTGTCTTTACCGCATCAGCAAACGCCCTCCCGGTTTTGGTGGTTTTCACTTTTTTCTCTCCTTCATTTTCCTTTCCTTGCGTATTCCGAGGGCAAACCACACCACGAGCACTTTCGGCTCTTCAGAGGAGCTTTACCCGCGGCTGAGCGGCTCCGGCGGGGCTCCGCACAGCTCTGCCTTCCAGGAGAGCTCCCAGCGATGAGCGGACTTTGGGAAATGCTCCCGAAGCCCCGGAAGCCGCGCCGGTTGCCTGCTTCCAAAAGCCGCCCGAGGGACCGGGCTGGGGCGGTGGGGGTCCGGCGCTGAGCGCCCCACGGAGCTCTGCCGATTCCCTATCCTAACTCTGAGCTTCGGGGCGCTCCGCCTCGAGGGGATCGTAAGGAGCAGACCGAAAACCGCTCAGCTTGCGGCAGGCCGAAGTCAAAAAGCAGAAAACGAGCAAAGCGAGGGGGGAGAGTTTTGCCTACAGTCGGGTAACGGGAAGTGGGGACGGGGCTGGGAGGGGAGGGCAGCTCTGAGCTCCGCGCCCGTCCCGTGGATTCCGGCCCGGTGGCAGGGGGAACGGGGGGAGAGCCGGGATGGGAGTCCCGCGTTTGCGTGGGCTCCGAGCGGGGTTTGAGGGGGGAAAAGAAAAAAAAAAGAGAGAGAACAAAAGAAGAAAGAAGGAAAGAAAAGAAAGAAGAAAAGAAAGAAGGAAAGAAAAGAAGGAAAGAAAAGAAGGAAAAAGAAGAGAAAGAACAGAAAGAAAAGAAAGAAGGAAAAAATAAAGAAAAAAAGGAATTTTTTTTCCTTTTTTTTTTAGTATTAATTTTTTTTTTTTTTTTTTTTTTTTTTTTTTTTTTTTTGAGGGCCAGCCCGTCGCTGTCACCCCAAATCCGTGCTTCGGGTGCTCCTCGGGTTCCGTCCTTTATTTTTCCCCCCTCCTCCCGCAGAGGCTCTGTGCTGGCTGCCGCGGCTGGGGCAGAGCTCCCCGGGTCGGCCGTGCTCCCCACCGCGGGGTCGCCTCTTGCCCGCCCTCCCCATCCCAGCTCTTTCCCCTTCCCTTCTCCCCGTCCCGTCCCCTGCCCTTCCCGCCCGCCCCCGGTGCGGCCGTACCTTGAAGGCGATGGGCAGCGTCTTGTTGCAGCGCCAGTGGGTGGGCAGCACGGAGCAGAGGAAGTTGGGGCTGTCGGTGCGCACCAGCTCCCCGGGGTGGTCCGCCAGGACCTCCACCATACTGCGGTCGGCGGCGCGCAGCTTCCCCGCCAGCGCTCCGCTGTGCTCGGCGCCGGGCAGCGGCAGCGGCTCGCTCATCTTCCCCGGGCTCAGCGCGGTGGAGGGCGGCGTGAAGCGGCGGCTGGTGCTGGTATCTACGGGGATACGCATCACAACAAGCCTGTTGAGTGAGGGACCTCCGAGGGCTTGGGGCAAAACAGCGAAGCGAAAGGAACTCTTCGGCGAGCCGCTCTCTGGGGAGCGACATACACGGGCGCGGGGCGGGGAGCCGGGGGCAACTCGTTTGGATGCCGGTGCCCGCTGGTTGTTTGTAGCCGGACGCGGGGGCGGCTCCGCGGGGCCGAACGGGGCGCGCCGCGCTCCGAGGGGCGCTCAGGGTTCCGCCGGGCACAGCTGCGCGCACGGCCCCGGACGCGCGCACACACGCGCACCGCGCGTCATAAAGTATTGACGGCGCGATCCGCCAGAGCTTTAAACACGGCAGGCATCCATCAGTGCTCTACGGCCTGGCTGGTATATTTTTTTTAGGTCTTTTTTTTAGGTTTTTTTTTTTTAGGTTTTTTTTTTTTAGTTTTTTTTTTTTTTTTTTTTTTAAGCAGCCTCGAAAATCAGCTTCGGTCGTTTAGTTCGCGTCGCTCTACGAGGGCTCATGGCCTCGCCATAATTCCCGCAAAAAATCATATAATAATAATAAAAAGAAACGCTCAGTGCATGGCTTGAGATGTCTCTCTTTGGATTTGTCTTTGGGACAGCGCTCTGCGTAAAGCCGCGGCCGATGGCTGAGGCCACCCCCGACTGTCGGTGCGGCTGCGGGCGCTCTGCGGTCGGTGTGCGCCACAGCGCTCCCTCTCTCTCAACTCACGTTCCCCTCAGCACTCAAACCCACACTGCAACAACTTCGTCACTCGTTGCCAACTTGGTTTTGTTTTTTGGTTTTGTTTTGCTTTGATTTTTTTTTTTCCCCTTCGGTATCTGAGGCGGTCTTCCTTTCGCTCGGCCGCAGGAGAGGCTGCTTAACACGATGTCAACCGCAGCAGGTGGAGCCCCGCCTCGGGCAGCATGGCTCTTCCCTCCGCCGCCTGCAGCACTGGGGTCGGGGGGAGAACAGCGAGCAGAACCCGCGCAGAGCCACGCAGAGCCGCGCAGGCACCCCGCAGCCAGCCGGCAGCGCTCAGCTCCGTTTCCAACAGCCCCGCGTCGAGTCGCTGCGAGTTTCCCTTCCGCCAAACGGGTGACGGGGGGGAGGGGGGCAGGACGCCGCGCAGACAGCGAAAAGCGGGGATGACCAAACGCAAAGTTCCCAGCCGGGCTCGGCGCTCACAGCCTCCAGCCCGGACGGCAGCGCGGAGAAGAAGACATTTCCACGGCGCGCAGCCCTCGGGTCTTCACGGGAGAACCGCCTTCCTGCCCGCCCGCCCGCCGGCCGCACACCGCGCAGGGCCCCGCCGCGCTCCGCTCGGCGCTCCGCTCGGCGCCCGCCGCCGCCGGGATGAATGGAGGCGGCCGGCAGCGCGTCGGCTGCGGCGGGCGGAGTGCGGAGGAATGTCATCCCCCCGGCTGCTTTGCATACGGGGAGGGCGCCGGCCAATCACAGCCCTTTCCGGGAGCAGCCAGGGCGCGGCCGCGGGCCAGGGGCTCCTGGAATTGGCGCGCCCGCTGCCGCCGCCGCTACTGTGCGGGCAGCGGTTCCGCGTGCGGCTGCGGTTGCCGCGCGGGATGCGGTTCGTCCGCCGAGGGCTGAGCCTCGAGCGCCGGCCCGGCTGCCCCGGGGCGGTCCCGCATCGCGGGCTGGAGGTCCCCGGGGGAGCCGCCGCTGCCGGGCTCCCCGCACGCGGCGGGTAGAAGCGGAGCCGGCGGCGGTGTGCCGGGTGGAGGCGTGGCTGCCCTTGCGGGCTGGGTTTGGGCTCCGTCCTTTTTTTTTTTTTTTTTCCCCAATGTTGGTGCTGGAGTTCCCCGTCCCGAGAGCCGAGCCGCGCCCCTGTGGTTCCTCCGCCTTATTTCCCACCCCCGGAGACCCCCTCCCCGAGGTCGCCTCGGGGCCCGCACTCAACAGCTGCGGCGGCGGCGGCGGCGGCGGCGAGCGGGGAGCCCCCGGGCCCGGCGGCTGGGAGGCGGGCGCCGAGTCCCGGGACGACAGCCGCTGCAGCTCCGCCGCGGGGCCGGCAGAGGGGGCGCGCCGCCCGCCGACGGCGCTCCGACGGCCGCGGAGGAGCTCCGGGGAGCGGCTGCGGGACGGGCGCCGCCGCGGGGACGACGGGGGGAGGGCAGAGCCGGCGGCCGCTTGGAAACTGTGCGGGGTCGAAGTGCCGGGCTCCGTTGCGGGGTAAGACAGCGTGCAGAAAGGAAAACACCGGCTCCGTGCTCCCCGCACCCCGCTCCGTGCGACCCGATCCAGCGGCTTGCGCTCGGACGCCGGATCCTTGGCACCCACTGACCGTGGCGCCTCCTAACCGTGGGGTGTCTGTGCCCGCCCGTGCGGTTGGTTCTCTATAAGCCCGTCCCGCACGGATGCTTCCCTCCCTCTGTCTCTCCCTGTCGAGTTGTTCTTTAAATGAACCTATCCCGAACTTAAATTGCCGTGGAGATGTTTTCTTCTGCTTGAAGGAAAAAGAAAAAATGCAAAACAACAAAACAACTATACAGGCGAAGCGCTGTTACAGCACAGCTTAAAGCCACCTGTGGCCGGTCGCTTTTTACGGCCATTACCGAGATCACAAGGGCTCTGTTAGCTATGCGCACACACATCGCGTAACACGTTAAAATACGCGCATAGCGTTTCAGTTTTCTTTTTTTTTCTTTTTCTTTTTTGCTGTTTCTCCTATCCCAGCCACGAGGTAGGCAGCTTTCTATATTTTCAATCAATTCCGGCGAATGGATCGCACTCTCTCTTCACCTCAACTCCTTTGTATAAGCGCAAATTAAACCCAGTTCTCAGAAAGGCAAAATAAACGCGCGCGAACGACCAGAAAAAAATGATACAAAACGCCGCTATTTAACAGAAGTCGGGCAAAATACGCCACGCTTCCCGTTCCCTATAACCGGGCACCAGCTGAAGGGCCGATCCTGGCAGCAGGTGACGGTGTTCCTACAAGTCGAGCATTGAACTGTACCTATCCTTTAGCACCAACCGCACACGGGGGGGACGGGAGGGGGGGTGTATTTTTTTAGCTAGCACAATCTACCGCCTTCCTTATAATTTTCATCGAATCACAGAATGGCCTGGGTTGAAAAGGACCACAGCGATCATCTATTTCAACCCCCCTGCTATGTGCAGGGTTGCTAACCACCAGACCAGGCTGCCCAGAGCCACATCCAGCCTGGATTTAGCTTTACACGACAAAGGGAGGAACTCTTGCAGGGGTTTGCCGTCCCCTCACTATGCTTTGGGTGCACTATGGAAGAATAGGAACTGCTGAATGAAGCAGCGGGCGCACCCACGATTATTAGGCAAAGGAAGGCAGCGAGGGACTGCATTGAAAGTCAGTATTCCTCCCTCCCGCTGCGGCTTTTAGCCTGCCCGGCGCCCCGGCTCACGCTCGGACAGCCGCTCCTTTGTGCCCTTTGAAGCGTGAATCGCAACTGTTGTCGGAGCTTGACCCGTTCGCATGCAGCACCGCTTCCATTTGGATGCAGACAACAATTTTTTATAGCCATAAGCAAACCGCAACGGAATCTCTGTCTGCCACGCGTTGCCTCTGTCGTGCGGGCTTCGCAGACCACAAAGCACCGAAGTTTTTACGTCATACGGTTAAGTAAAAGCTTCGGAAGTTGGAGAGGGGGAGCAACAGCTTTGGGATGAATTTTCGACACACCAATTGCAAAGGGAGAATGAGAACCCGAGCGCTCTGCGAGTCCGTGCTGACAAGGAAACCCTCTGCAGGCAAACGGGCAAGGGGGACGCTGGTGCAAAATGGGTTGGATTTGTGCGGACAGAGAGCAAACGTGACCAAGGAAAGGAACAAAACATTTTGTTGAAGAGCTGCAGACTGTAACAGCAAGCGCGTGCAGTGTAAGCACAACCCAGAGAACTGGCCACAGACTCTGACTGTGCAACTTCTTAGGAACATCCCCGGCCTCTTCTTAGCCACCCTTCTGCTGCATGAAAATCTCTGCGAATGCTATTATGCACTCAGTGGGCTTAGTCTGGCATTACTCAGTGGGTCATTTCCTCCCTTTTGCACCCAAATGAGTTTAATCATAGGATCACAAAATGGCCTGGGTTAAAAGGACCACAATGATCATCCAGTTCCAACACCCCTGCTCTGTGTAGGGTCACCAACCAGATCAGGCTGCCCAGAGCCACATCCAGCCTGGCTTTGAATGCCTCCAGAGATGGGGCATCCACAGCCTCCTTGGGCAACCTGTTCCAGTGCTTCACCACCCTGTGAGTGAAAATACATGTATTAAGGCCGTCCTGAAAATATTTATGATGATGTGAGTGTGCCTTACTTGTAGTGGCAATGAATCAGTGGGTTAATGCTTGTAAATAAGATTTGTAGGATCAGGCTTCTGAACTGCCCCTGCAAGTATTTATTGTATAACAGTTACCATCGTGGGTAATTCCACTGACTGACATGAAAGAATGACTACGGCGATGCATTAAATTATTTTAAATTATGTCACATTATTCCAGAGCATGGAGAAAAGCAGCTCCCTGTAAGTAAAAAGGTGAGGTCGGTGTTCCTTGTTTCCTGCACTCATCTCTCACACAGCGAAATCTGAATGTTTCATCCCAGCACATGAAGCATACGTATGATGCCACCAAGAGTGAGATGTGAGATGCCAGCAGCATGCTGGGGAGCTTGGCTCTGTGGGCCAGCACTGCACAGGTGCACGATCTGTGACCTCTCTCCGTCTCAGGGAGGGAAGTGCCTGAGCCCCACTGGCAATCTCCTCTTTCATCTTTGTTAGCTGATACAAGAATATTTGCTCTGGAAAAGGGGAATTGGCTGCAGCTCAGTTTATGCTGAATAGAGGGGTTGTGATGAATGACAACATACCATGTATCCATTCAGTACCTTTAGTCTGGGTGTCTAACTACCTGCGACCCAACTTGAACACTGGAAAAGTTCTCAAGGAGTCTCTATCCTCCTCAGAACGTCCTGGTGGTGACAGTGCTCTCAGAAGTTGTGAG